TTCAAAGATAAGTTTTTAATAGAAAAAAAAATTTCATGATCCAGAACTTTGTTTCTTTCTAGTTAGTCAGTATTCCTTTATTAAGCACCTGCTATGTGCCAGGCCCTGTGCTAAATCCTGGGGATGCAAAAAGACAGTCCCTGCCCTGAAGGAACTCAGAATATAGTGGGGAAGACAACAGGCAGACAAGGGTTCTCTCTCTCTGTCTGATAAATAGGAAATAATTAAGAGAGGGAAGAGCTGTAGAAAGAAGAGGGATTGGAGAAGGCTTCCTCTAGAAGATGTGATTTTAGTTGGAACTTAAAGGAAGTCAGTGAATGCAGTAAGAGATCATTAGTAACTTTGGAGAGAGCAGTTGGAGTGGAATGATGAGGTTACAGACAGGGCAGAACTCTTTAGAACCTTTGGCTTCTTGAATCCCCTTCGTCCTGCATCTTCTCATTCTTTCCATCATCTCAGCCTACTCCTCCTTGAATGTCCACTCCATCTATCTACCAGCTTCAGGAGGTGCTTGTCAAGGACACACTTACCAGCCTCTAGTTTTTTCTCCCTTCCTTAAGGAGCCTGTGTCTGTCTGTCTCTCTTCTTCCCTTCCTCTTGTAAGGAACTAAGAGTGAGAGAAGAGAAAGTGGTGGTAGACTTTGGTTGTAGACAGCCCTTTTAAGGAGTTTAGCCACAAAGGGCTGAAGAAATATATGATAGTGGAGATGGAAAGATCAAGAGAAGTATTTTTGAGAATGAAGGAGACATAAGGATGTTTGTTGGTAGTAGAGAAGGAGCCAGTAGCTAGGGAAAGATTGAAAGTAAGTGACAGTGGAGTAGCCAGGTGGTGCAGTGGATACAGCGTTGGTCCTGGAGTCAGGAGGACTTGAGTTCAAATCCAGCCTCAGACATTTATTTACTAGCTGTGTGACCCTGGGCAAGTCACTTAACCCCATTGCCTAGCCAAAAAAAGGAAGTAAGTGACAGTGTCGATGACTGGGATGGGGCAATTGATTGCAGGAGATGGGATGGAATGAGATTGCTCATGCAGGTAGAGGGGTTAGCCTTGGTAAGGAGTAAAGTCATCTCATCATGTGAGACAGGAGTGAAGGAGATAGTGGCAGAAAGCACCAGAGTGGTATGACATGAAGAAGGGAGAAGAGGGAACTCATGGTAAATAACCTCAAATTTTTCACTAAAATATGAGACAAGGTTCTTAGCTTGAGAAGGTGAGAGGAGGGTGAACCATAGGAACTTTGAGGACGGATTAAAAAGGTTTGGAAGAGCCCCAGAAGAGACTTGGATTAAACACCATATTCTGCAGGAGATCCTCACCTGATAAAGTGCCTTTTTCTCTAAGGTTACCTTTCATTTACTTTATTTTTCTCCTTTTGTTTTCTCCTTTTAGACTGAATTCCTTGAGGGTAAAGACTGCTTATGCTTTTTCTTTGTATTCCTGGCGTTTAGCACTGTGGCTAGCGTTTAGCAAGTCCTTAATAAATGCTTGTTGATTGATAGCTCAGCTTTGGATGATGGTGAAATTTAAGAGTTTGACTTTCTCTTATGAGAGGCAGTTTGAATATGTAGGTCATAGAAGTTGAAGAGGTTGGTGAAAGTATTCAAGAAGAAATCAAAAGTTTCTAAATTATGAGCGTAGGGGTTATAGTGGAGAGACAGACAGACAGACTCTGAGCCAGTCCTTAAGTAATGGAGTATATAACCATTATATACTAGGTGGTATTCCTGACAAAGATCTGGAGCAGTAATATAGATAGATGGAGTGAACTTTAAAGGAAGAGTAGATTGAGATGATGGAAAGAATGAAAAGATCTAGGATGAATGGGGTTTAACAAAAAACCAAAAATTCCAGAGGGTACAATGGAAAGAGAAGTCAGAGGAAGTTATAACCTTGTTAGGGATAAGAATGAGAGGAAACGTTGAGGAGGGGGCACTGAGACAGAGGATAGCATTTTTCACTTCAGCATATGTTGAGTCTAAATGATAAGGAAAAGGAGGATCTAGAATTTGGTTTTGCTTACCTTAGCATGGGGAAGAAGTAGGTAATCAGTCCCCCTGCAGGGGACTGTGATGACCAAGCATGATCTCAGGGCATTGGTGTTTAAGAATTCTGTCAAAGCATCTGGATCTTTAAATAACTGGTTTTCCAGTGCCTCTAAGGTTCAGGTTTGATGTTAGGCCGTTAGCCTATGTCTTTTGTTGTTGAGTTGTTTCTGTTGTGTCCAGCTCACACAAAGATACTGGATTGGTTTGCCATTTCCTCCCCTAGCTCAAGATGAGGAACTGAGGCCAATGGTTACAGATGCCCAGGGTCACACAGTTAGGGTCTGAGGCCAGATTTGAATTGAACTCAAGTCCTTCTGACTCCAGGGCTGGCGCTCTATGCGGTACCACCTGGCTGCCCATGCTTACCATTTTATTTTTATAGGTAAGGGAAGTAAGCCCAGAGGTGTTGCCAGAATTATCTTCAGTAACAGTGAAATTAATATCAACTAGTTGAGGCAGTATTTTATTTTTGGATAACTCACATTGTCGGGATTTCTTCATTGAATCAAGAATACTTTCCTCCAACTTCTTACCCTTTTAATTCTGGTTTTCCCCTTTGAAATCAAGCAGACGGGAACATTTAGAACATGCATGGATGATTTGGGACAGATTTCTTTACGTCATCTTTTCCCCTTCACCCACCCCTCTTCCAGATTTGCCAATTCATCTATGCCTGATCCTATGCAAATCATGCTGTCCCACTGACAAGGAAAAAAGGGAAAGGTAGACTTTTCCTCAATAGTTAACTGCCCTGTAGCAGAGATTCTTGACCTCTGAACAATGCTTTCTGAAGCTACTGGGTGATCTAGGAGGTTGAAATGGGTATTCCACAGAGGAGGGAGGGGATGTTCCTAATGATGCCTTTGCTTGCTACTGCTGTGAGTACCTAGATTGGGCTTTAGGCTCTGGTTTAGAAAAGGGTAGCTTGGAGAGGGGGCAGAATGGGGGATAAGGATAGGTGTGGTTGTTTTGGAGACAAGCCCCACAGATTGGCTGTCACAGGAGGATGAAATTATTTTGTTGACACAGCCCTTGGGGGTGGGTCTAGTCATAGCGGGCCCCACTTTGTAGACCTCTTGGCAATTCTCATCTAGAACCATAAATTGAAAAGAAGGTACTGACCTACAATTAAGAGGAATGTCCTCATTTAAAACTTCCCTATCATAGATCCAGTCTATCCTTATCCCTTTTGTTTTTTTTACATCACACCATTATCACCACCACTAACATTTATATAATGCTTTCAGCTTTGCACAGCATTTTACATGTTACCTCATTTGATTGACACCTTTATTTTTAAATGTGTCCTTTACTCTTCCTCTACCCCATGAGCCATCCCTTGGATGAGAGAGGAGGGAAAAGGCATTTCAACCCAACTAACCAACACATCAGCCAAGTCTGACAATGAATGTATGTAGGTTTCCAAACCCCTACAAAGAAGGCATAGAGATGTATTTTGCAATCTTTTTGGAGTTCAGGCTTGGTCATTGCAATTACAGCATTCAGTTTCAGCTGTTTTGTTCTTTCCACGGACATTGTTGTAGTTATGTATGTAAATTGTTTTCCCATTTCTGCCTGTTTCAGTCAAACTCAGTTCATAGAAGTTGTCCCATGTTTCTCTGAATTCTTCATCTTTGTTGTTTTGTATGGTGCAAGATTTATGTTGTTATTTGTTCATAATTTGTTTAGCTATTTCCCCCAGGTGGTGGATAGTGGATACCTACTTACTTTGTGACCAAGTTTTTGTCACCACACAAAGGGTTCCTGTAGGTGATTTATTTATGATCTTTGTTTCTGTGTTTTATTTCGGGTGGTAGTGGGGAGATTAAGCATAGCTGTGGTAGCTCTGGGTCAGATAGTAATGTAGAGTTTGATAATTAAAAAAAAAATTTTTTTCCACATCATTCCAAATCCCTTTTCAGAAGGGCTGGACCAAGTTACAGACCTAGTAACAGTGGTGTGCCTCTTTCCAATGCCTCTCCTGCATTAAATGTTTTCATATATTGGCTTCTTTGCTGGTTATGAGTAAAACCTGAGTGATTTTGATTTGCATTACTCCTATTCGTGTGGATACTTTAACAATATGTAAATTTTAGTGGCTTATTGAAAGATGAATATTAATTTGCTGTATAACATTAGCTGTCATTTGCAGAAGAAAATAAGTCATTGTGGCCAGATTGTTTTTTATGAAAGCATAAATTTGGACCTAATTTTTATTAATATCATCTTTATGTCCCAGTTCACTATTAAGGAATGGTAGTTCTGTGTTATGGTCAAACTTTAAATCATGTTGAACTTCCCCAGAAAGATCGATGAGTTCTCTTCTTAAAATTTATCTTTATACTTTGGTCTTTTCCCTTTGTTCTTAGCAAATTATGTTTGATTTTGTCATTTGTTTGTAATCCTAGCTGTTCCATTAGATTGTAAGCTCCTAGAGGGCAGGATATCAGTCTTTGTACCCCCAGGAACTAGAACAGCATCTTGGCACACAGCACTTAAAACTTTGCAGGCTAGCTGGGAAGGTAGAATGGAATGGCTGTAATATTTCTGCATGTGTCTTGCCTAGTAAATCATTGGCTTATACTTGGCTTTCTTCTGGTTTCTAAGCTTTTGTCTCCAGTCCTAGAGCTGTTAATGGAGTTTGTTCTGCCTTGTCTGGCTTAACCCAACCCATTTCCCTTGCATATTGTCTCAAGAACCTCTCTCTCCTCTTCCCTATCCCTCTCTAACTACTGATGAAGAGATGGATCTAAAGTGCCTACTGTGTGCCAGGCACTATGCTACCTGCTAGGGATACAGAGAAAGGCAAAAGACAGCCCCTGGTCTCAAGGAGCTTATACTATAATTCCTGTCTTGGCTGGGAAGAGGCCTGATGTAGCCTTATTGTATGTAGTAATTTCTTTGCCTTGTGCTGGGGAAGGAAATGGAACTAATGACTGATTTTATCATTACAGATCCATAACATGGTGGCAGTGCTGGAAGTTATCTCCAGCTTGGAGAAATATCCCATTACCAAAGAGGCACTTGAGGTATGACCCATTATAATAAAATTATTCAATATTAAGACTAAATTTATATCTCAGAAGTATAAGCACTGACCACCTGCTCAGGTGTGCTCCTTCGTTTTGGCAGGAATCCTGAGTGTTCCAAAGCATTTTGAGCTGACGTATTTCATCTTAGTCTTCCCGGCTTTAGCTTTGTTTTGAACATCAAATTCACTGCTCTTTGTGAAATGGAGCACGGCTTCAGTTTGTATTTCTGTGTTAGTACAGCAGCTCACTTGTATGTTGATTCTTTTTTGTACTTGAATTGTAATAACTGGTTTGTTTCAGTTTGCTGCTTTTTTTATTTGGGTGTGGGTTTTTTTGTTTTGTTTTGTCAAAGGAACTGGGTTAGAATTTTAGTTGCTTTTGTTCTACCCAGAGCCTCATTTAAGGACAGGCAACTGCCTTAGGGTATTACAGGTATGTAACTTGTATGTAGGTAGGTAGGTATATTGCTTTCACTCATGAAAGTGTAATGAGAAACATTTTAAAATATGGTATTTTGTAAATGTACTTTTCTCTAGGGCTTGTAGATACTTATTTTGTGATGCTTCAAATTGCTTCTGTTACAGGAAGACTCAGAGTTTCTCATAGATTTTAAGTAACACAGTGGGGGCTCAATTTTTGAAAAATTTTACTAAGGGAACACAGATTCCCTGCCCTTGCTCTGGTTCAAACTTAGTCTGTCCCTACCCTATGTATTTTTGATGGATTCCCCATTTCTCAGCAATGTCGCTTGTGAACATGCTTTTGCTAAGAATGTTTATGATTTGGGGGGAGTAAAATATCTCTGTCTGGTTGCAGGAAACAAGGCTAGGAAAACTCATCAATGATGTAAGAAAGAAGACGAAAAATGAAGAACTTGCCAAACGTGCCAAGAAACTGTTGCGGAGTTGGCAAAAGTTAATTGAACCTGTAACCCAGAACGAGCCAGTGCCAAGGGGATTGCCGAACCCACCAGGGTCGGCAAATGGCGGCGCTCACAACTGTAGACCAGATGTATCACCTGTTACAGTTCCTGGGTCCAAACCTATTCACGAGTTGAAAAATAGAAATGATATTCAAAAGCTGAACTCCCCGAAAACAGAGAAACTGGGAAATAGAAAAAGAAAAGGAGAACACCGTGATGGCCATCAAGGCCCTCCTTCCAAAGTTTCCAAAGCTAGCCATGAACTGTTACAAAATTCTTCTCCCCTTCCAACTAATGGGATTGGGGGAAGCCCTGAAAATTTCCCCAGCCCTCTTGATGTCAACCTGCACACAGGGCCTGAAAGCAGCAGGACAGAACACAGTGAGAATGATAAACACAGTAAGATACCAGTCAATGCCGTCAAACCTCACACGAGTTCTCCCGGACTTGTAAAACCTTCCAGCACTTCCTCACAGCTAAAGACTACAGTGCTTCAGCACCATGAAAAGCCGGAAGAACATACAGGGCAGCACCAACCTAAGAGTCCCCGCTGTTCATTTAGTCCTAGCAACCTAAGGCATGAGCCATTTGTCCGGCAGCATCCCACATATGCACCAAAGGGTTCTCTGCCTAGTCCATCTCAAAGGCCCCACTTCTTAGATGTTACCCAGGCTTCATCACCCTCTTCACGAGCACCATTGCTGATGCAGCCCTCAACGCCTCCAGTGCCCACAAAAAGACCGGAGGCTTCCCATCAGACTGGAGTAGAGGTTGCTCAGCACTGGCAGGAACACACGTCTTCTGAAAGTCATCAGCGGCATCTAGGAACCCTCCAACACACGTCTCCTGGCTGCAAAGTGGGCTCGCCCTCTGGGGAGCCTCTGATGCCACGGGTGGGGTTTTCTCCAGAGGCTTCCAAAATGGACAGTGATGACAATGCTGCTTCTGGGTCTGACAGTAAGAAGAAGAAGAGGTACAGATCTAGAGACTACACAGTGAACTTAGACGGACAGGTTCTTGAAGGGGGTGTCAAGCCTGTCAGGTTAAAAGAGAGAAAAATCACCTTTGATCCCATGACTGGACAAATTAAACCTCTAACACAAAAGGATTCTTTGCAGGTAGATATCCCTGCCCTTGCTGACCAGCACAGGACAGAACCGGACAAGCCGGAGCAAAAAACCAACCTGCAGAGTCCTTTTGAACAAACGAACTGGAAAGAGTTGTCCAGAAATGAAATAATTCAGTCCTATTTAAACAGACAGAGTAGTTTGCTTTCCTCATCAGGCGTACAAACACCAGGAGCTCATTATTTCATGTCTGAATATTTAAAGCAGGAAGAAAGCACTAGAAGAGAAGCTAGAAAGACTCATGTTCTAGTGCCAAACAGTATATCCACAGACCTGCCTGGAGTTAGTAGAGAGATCACAAATGATGATCTCAACAGAATAAGGCAACTCCATTGGCCAGGGGTGAATGGTTGTTATGATACACAGGGTAATTGGTATGATTGGACGCAGTGCATATCTTTAGATCCACACGGTGATGATGGTAGATTGAACATCCTGCCTTATGTCTGCCTAGACTGAATATAAGATTGCTAAAATGCTTTCACATCTGCAGTTAGCAAACACAGCAGGGCAGACTCCATGACGCTTAACATGGAGAGTGCACCTCTTGTCCTGGAAAACAGGCCTGGAAGAGGGTCTCGAGGGGCTGATCCTTTGTAGCTCTTCTGTCTAAGTTCTTCTTTTGTGAAATGCTGCTACCAGTTTACTAACAAAAATAGCAAAGGAAGGGCGTACGAAGGACAAAGAATTGAGTTCAAAACTCTATAGCAAACCAGCTATAAAAAGTGTTAGTCCCCAAAAGGTTCAGATGATTTCCAGCACATGTGAATGCCGGAATCTTATCTACAGGCAGGTACAGAATACTTGTGGAAGAGTTACCTTAAAAGTACGCATCTATTTATTTGCATTGATTTTTTTTTTTTAATTTGGCAGTGAGATGTCTGTGAGACAGTGTGCAACAGCTGTAGTTTTATTTGTATTTGCATCATCTCTCTGTTGAACGATTGGGTTATTTTAAGTCACATGGTGCAGATTTTTTTTTCAAACTGCAGCCATGCACCACTGCAGTTACCCAGTTTCTAACTCCACATTCCGTAGGCATCCACATATTTTAGTCTGGTTTCAGTTTAAATCCAGTCTCCAAGAAATGCTGCAAAAATTTAGTTTTTTTAAAAGTCCCCTCCCTTCCCCCTACCCAGTAGCCAAATAATTTTTGTCCTTTTTCCCTTCCTACAAATTTCTAGAAAACTTCATCTTTCTAGAGTCCAAAAATGTAACTGCGGGTGCTACTAGTGTGTAACTGTCCTGTGAGGGAAGAGGGAGCCTGTTTTGTATGCTGGAAATATACTTGTTACCATTCCTTTAGATATTGTTTGCCTTACGGATATTCATCATAAACGCGATTTGCAAAAACAAAGAGCCTTAGTGAATGTACAGTGACTAGACTTCTGTGTTCTTCAGATGCAGAAGGGAGCAACTTTGCTATTTGGTCCTTTAAGTGGACACATTGTGATATAAATGTGGAAATAAAAAAAAATTTGCACAAAAAAGTTTGTGAATTATTAATGATAACTGGTTTTTGGTGTTTTTTTTTCCCCCCAACTGTTATCAATGGGATGGTCTTTTGCTCCCGGGGGGTTGCTGTTGTATTCCATCATCATCCCCTCCATTTTCCAGTCTCTTCCTTACCTGAAGCAGTTAAGAACCCATATCAAATAGAAAGGAAGGATGGATTTTTAAGTATATGGCTCACAAAGATGAGCATTTCATATATAATATCACGACCAGTCCAACAAAGCTAAATGAAACTTGTATCTGGACTTAATATGCAGAATTTCAGCAACCTAGAAGCTTCAGGTTCTGCTTAGGAATGCTACATGAAGGCCACTACAGGCATCGTGGCAGCACCTTATTCAAGTAGAACCACCACACCAGCTTCTTGTCAGAAAAATAGCAGTTTCTTAGAAGGAATCCAGTTAACTTTCTTTTGGAAAATTGTTCCTCTACTTCAAATTCCAGAGGAGATATAAACACAAATAATTTCAGGAAAATACAGTTTTAATTTTTGAAATGATTATTGATAAGCCAAGCACAGCATGGATATTAACCACTTTAGTCAAAGCTGCTCTCACTCTCTTGCCGCCAGCACCCCAATTTGGGTTGATCCAGTTATTAATGTTCAACACCCACTGACATGCTCTTTGTTCTGCTATGCCACCTCTGATTCACTTCCGGCACCTTCACTCATCTATTGTCAACCAATTCCAACAGACTGTCTTGCAACTACTCTCCCCCCACCTTGGGATTAGAGATTTGAGGAAAAGGGAAATGGGAGAAATCAATCAATAAACATTTATTAGGCACCTACCATGTATCAGGTACCGCTAGGTCCTAGGGCTACAGAGACCAAAAGTGAAACATTTTCTGTTCTTCAGGTACACATAAATACATACAGAATAAATAAATACAGTGGAGGGAAAGAGAATACAAGCCAACTGAGGTGTCTGGAAAACCTGTGGGAGGTGGTGTTTGAGCCAAGTCTACAAGGAAATGAAGGGTTGTACAGTAAGGCAGGGGTTTGGAGGGAGCCTTTTTCCGGCCTTGTCCTGCAGCCAGTACAAGGGCTGGGTGTTGGGTGGTGGAGTGCTGTGAGGAACAGAGGCCAATTTGATTGTACCACAGAATGTAGGAAGGGCAATAACCAATGATGAGGCTGAGAAGACCGGCTGAAGCTGGGTGGTTGTGAAAGAATTTAAAAGCCAAATAGAAGAGTTTTCACTATTTTTTTTTTGTTTGTTTGTTTCCTTCAATAGAGGAGCTATAGTTGTATGGATGGTATATTAGAGCCTGGAGAGACTGAGGCAAGGTTGGGACAGAACAACTTTGCAGGGGTCCAGGGGAGAAGAACTAAGACAGATAATGCCTGTGACCATCACGAAGGGTAAGAGGTGGGCCAGGTCTGTTGTGGAGATAGAAAAGACAAGATTTTGCAGCTGATTAGTATGTGGGAAAAGAGCAAAAGGATGGGGAATAAGAAACCAAAGAATTAATGGGCGGAACAAATAAAAAAAGAGAGAAGTGGCAGAGATGGAAAATAAGAGAAGAAAAATGTTCCTCTTACAAATCAGTCATTACTTCTGAAAAAAAATATTTTTCTGATACACGGATGGCACCCAGTACCACTAAGGGAGATGGAAATACGAGATAAAACATAAAACGCTTTCCCTAAGAAAGGGCCACCAGCATTACTGCCAACCGGCTCTTTGCCTACAATGTCTCAGTATCTATTGCCCTTGCTCACTTACTTCCCAGGGTTTTAAAGAAGCCCAGTTTCCTCTCTTATTCTGGCCATATCATTTGTCAGAGAAATTTGGGGGTGTAGGAAAGGGGGGACACACAGGCTTCCAGAGACATGGCTGCACTACTATCTAGACAAGTGACCTTGGACAAATCTCTGAGCCTCAATCTCTTCATCTAAATTGGAAGCTATGCATAAGGAAAAAGCTTTGTAAATGATAAAGACTATACAGCAACACTTTAAGACCAATATGTAAATATTGGTGGCAGCTAGATTTTGGTAGAAATCTCACTCCAACCCCTCCTCCACCAATCAGGCTGTGAAATCAAACTGGAGCCTTTTTACCATGGTGCACATGTGCAGGAAGCTTGTGCCTCAGTTATTTTTTCTGTAATATGAGGTTTAATTCTGTCCAGTAGAAAAGGCAACCCTAGCAGGAAGCCTTGCCCAGACCATTGTGTCTTTTTTTTAAAGAGTCCTGGGCTGCCAGTCAAGAAACCTGGGAATCAGTCCTCCCTCACTCTGCTGCTCATTTGTTTTGCAGCCCTGGACAAGTCATGTCCCTTTTTGAGCTTCTATTTTCTTCTCTATAATAAGTAAATCCATTATAACTGCATTGATATTTTAAAATATACTTCTCCTTAGCTATTTGCCTTGAAACATTTATTTTCTATTTAAGCCTGATTTTTCTCTTAGACACTTTATATAATATCCCTTGTATGTACATAGAATTTTTGAAACAATGAATGTGAACACTTCTAAAACTTCTAAAGGACCTTAAGAGAATCCTTTAATTACTCCCTAATTAGAACCCTACACATATCAGGCCTGGAAGAAACTTTAGAGATGACTTAGCACAACTTCATCTTACAGTTGAAAGCAAGGCCTGGAAAGGTAATGATTAACGCTAATATGAGGGAATTGGAAAGCACATCATGGTACAGTAGAATGAGCACTGGACTCGCAACGGGAAGATCTGGGTTTTGCCAATTTAACTTTCTAACACTGAAAGTCTTTCTGTAGGCCTTACTTTCCCCATCTGTAAGAAGGCTCATTAGTTCTGTCCATATCCTGTAATTCTCTAACTCCTCCAGGGCTTATTCTAGGGTTCTAGAACGCAACAGCTCACTGACCTCATAACTTTCAAACTGTAATCAGTCTCAAAAGTTTTCTATCCACAGCTCCCTTAGATTTGCTTTTCTGGTTCTACCTAAAGTACTTTCAGAATTCTATTTTCAAGACCCCAAGGGAGCAGGGCTAGGTGGCCCAGTGGATAGAGCACTGGCCCAGGTTCAGGAGGACCTGAGTTCAAATGTGACCTCAGACAACACTTAACTAGCTATGTGACCCAGGCCAAGTCACTTAACCCCACTGCTTAACCAAAAGAAAAAAGAAACCAGAGAGCAAAACAGGGTCAATCTGAAAAAATACCTAATAGAAAATTTCAGTAATAGCTCACATTTACATAGCACTTTGGAAATTTACAAAAGTGTTCTGAATACATTTTGTCATTTGGTTTTCAACTCTGTTAGGTAGGTGCTGTTGCTCCCTTTATACCAATAAGAAAACGAGTCTCAGAGAAGTTAGGTGACTTTCCTAGGGTCACAGAAAATTTTTTTTAATTAATTTATTTTGATTTATCAATAATCACTTCCATATGCTTGTGAGTTTAAAATTTTTCTCCCCCATTCCTCCCCACCACCCTCCCCTAGACGGCGCACAATCTGATACAGGCTATACATTTACATTCATATTAAACATATTTTCACATTAGTCATGTTGTAAGTAGAAATTAAAACCAATAGGAGGAACCATCAGAAAAAGGAAACAAAACTCAACAGAAGGGAAAAAAAATAACAATTCGGCTTCCATAGTTCTTTGTCTGGGTGTGGATAGCATTTTCCGTCACAAGGCCTCTGGAGATGTCTTAGATCCTTGTATTGCCAGGAGGGGTTAAGTTTATCAATATTAGTCATCACACAACGTGGCTGTTACTGTGTAACAGTGTTCTCTTGGTTCTGCTCACTTCACTCAGCATCAGACCATACAAGTCTTTCCAGGTTTTTCTGAAGTCAGCCTGTTCATCATTTCTTATAGCACAATAGTATTCCATCACATTCATCTACTACAACTTGCTCAGCCATTCCCCAATTGATGGGCATCCTCTCAATTTCCAATTCTTTGCCACCATGAAAAGAGCTGCTATGAATATTTTTGTACATGTAGGTCCTTTTCCCATTTGTGTGATCTCTTTGGGATGTAGCCCTAGAAGTGCTATTGATGGGTCAAAGGGTATGCACACTTTTATAGCCCTTTAGGCATAGTTTCAAATTGCTCTCCAAAATGGTTGGATCATTTCACAACTCCACCAACAATGCATTAGGTCACAGAAAATTTTAACTCGGGTCTTCCTATCTCTACTTGATCTGGAAGAGGCCTCAGACCACTGAATGTTGAAACTGGAAGGAATTTAGACCAACTTTACCAAAAAAGGTAAGTTAGCTGAGCTAGGATTAAAACTTTTAGACAAAACTTTTTTTGGCATGAATTTAAATGAACATCTTTTCACACTTCAGCATTATAATCCAAAGAACAGAAACAGCTTCTCTGGAAAAAACTCCTTTTGGTTTTTAACAATCTATAATCTTTTTGCCCAAGGAATATCTTATAATATTTTAGCTTAAACTATCCAGTAGAGCTAACCTCACTAGATCCTTTTGCAAAGAGCCCTGACTACCTGTTGGGAATATTGGGTACTATTTCTAACTCTTAGCCACATACTTGCTGGCTCCTTAGAGGGGGTTCTGGCTTACACAACCTCTAATGGTCCAAGACCCAAACATCTCTATGTAACAACAATGAAAGCTATGTTCTTCCTCTAGAGCAGTTGGGGAGGGAGAACAGCAAAAGTGGCATGCTCAGTAACATAAATCAGGAGAACTACACTGGAGTGGGGCTCTGCCACTAGCTCCCTTTGTGTCAGGGGGTGGGTTTCTTCACTTCATTTGCCTCAGTTTTTACCCTTTGCAAAAAAAAGGCAAGGTCCCCGTTTTGTTTCTGTGATGAAACAGGAGTAGGTTGGGGATGGAGAACCTCCCCTTAGTAAGCTTACTGTTCATTTAGCAGTTTCCTCTCAGTAGTGCTGAACACTGTAGGTGGTGCAAACATAAGCCTCGTTTTACAGATAAATAAACTGAGGGAAGAGATTAAGTCACCTGTCCAACTCGATATGGAATTAGAAAGGCCTTTAGAAATCTAGTGCCCAGAACTTGGTAGGCACTAAATGTATATTGAATGAAACCTAGCCTACCCTAACAATCTCCCAATACAGTTAGGAGAAAACAATTCCAGAATGAAAGAAATTAGTTAAGGAGCAAAACCAGGATTCAAACCCAGCTCTCCTTTATTTACACTGTAGTCACCCAGCCTGGCAACTTCAGTGTCATCCTCCCGCTCCACTGGAGTAAAATCTTGTCCTATCTTTGCAGCAGTTCTTAGATGTGTCCCATTTCTTCACACTCATAGACTTAGTTCAGGCCCTCATCACTTTGCCTGGACCATTGCAGTAGCCTAATTATTCCAAACTATCCTCAAATGCCAAAGTGCTACTCCTGAAGCACAGGTCTGACCTATTTAATAAATTCCTAGAGCTCCTTACTACCAGTTGTTTGTCCTTCCTTTTCCAAGAGGACCAATGACATCACTGAGTGATGTGTTGCTCATAAATTGGATTTATGTGAGGCAGAGTTGCACAAAGTCATCAGCCTCACTTCCTACATACACCCCTTTCTAATTCCTCCCCCTCCCCAATATATTTCCCTTCAAATTATCTATTTTCTATTTTCCATCTACATGTGGCCTCTTCTCATTACATTCCTGGAAGGCAGACACTGCCTTTCATCTTTGGGGCTCCAGTACCAGACAGAATAGGCCCTTACTAAAAAATATTATGTCCAGTCACGCAAGTCAAAGTGAGCCTAGGTCTACTGACTCTCTTCGCTTTAGGAAAAAATCATCAAGAGAATAGTAAGAACACTGGATTTGGAGTCAGAACCATTTTGAGTACAAAATTCAGCGACTGTTAACCTGTGGGACCCTGGAGAAATAAATTTAACCTATCTGGGGAGGGAAGATCACTATTTTCATCCGTAAAAGTAAGACCGATCTCTGTAAATCCCACTCCAGATTCGTCAGGAATCTAAGTCTCTTGCATTCGACAAACTAGGAGGCACAGTGCATAGAGTGACGGGCCTGGATTCAGGAAGACGAGTTCAAATTCGGCCTCAGACACTAACCCTGATGCTGGACAAGTCATTTAAACTGTATGCTTCAGTTTCCTTAGATGTAAAATGGGGATAATAACAGCACCTACCTTGCAGGGTTGTTGTAAAGATCAAATAAAGTAACTGTGCCTGGCACTTAGGAGGCGCTCTAGAAAGGACAGTTATTATTATTATTATTATTATTGACAACAAAGTTAGGGTCACATGGGTGCTCAGCGTCAGCGCCGGGGCTACATCAGAAGGACTGCCCGGACCGTGGGCAGGCTCCCCACGCTCTCGTCCTCCGCTTATGGACAGCCATAGGCCCTCCCTCCTGGACACCTCTCTCTCGCATACCCTGTTTCCTTCTCCGGGCACAGTCGCCCCGAGGGAATCCGAACGCACGCTTCTCAGAACTAGGCAAGGGGTAACACCACCACAGCAGGAAGAAAAAGGATGCCTCACCACTTCCCAAATCCGCCTCCGACGCGGCCGGAAGTGACGTGGACGACTGCTCCCCTCCCGGAGGCGGCCCACGTCGTCTCCTCTACGTCGGTCTGTCGGTGCGGGAGGCGATGACGTATATCGCCTCCGGCCTATGGGGCTGCGGCGACGACGGGAGGGGCGGGGCAGGGCGGGCCCAGCGCGCGCCCCCGGCCCGGCCCGGCCCCGCCCCGCCCCGGCCGGCGCGCGGGGTCCCGAGCCGGGCCCGGAGCTGCAGGAT